TTTCAGACAATAATAATAATTGTGTGGGAAGAGTGGAAGGCAGAGGGGAGTCAGGAAGAGTTCACTGTGCTCTCTATTTCTGTTCTTCTTGGTTGGTTGGCAGGCTGCTGTAAGCGGTTTGAGTTGTCCAGGCGTGAACCTACAGTGGTGATGGTCCACTTCAATCTTTTTCATGTTGATGCTGTTGTCCACCCATGCGTGCACCTACCCGCTCACTTGCCTTGCTAGATGCTGCATAGTTAGTGCACGCCATGTTGAGTGCCTCGTTGTGTTGCCATGTGCCCACACTCCAGCTAGCTTGCCTAGCTGTATGCTGCCTACTGAAAACCCTGCGGTGCGCCTTGCTGAGTTCGCTCTGTCCGGACCTGCCTACCCAACTGTGCACGTGCTATGCGTTGCTATAAGTGGCCTTGTCCATGTGAGACCGCACACTGTGCTGTGTTTGCCCACTTGCAACCAGGTTCAAAGATGGTTATGACTCAAAGAAATGTCAGGGGATTCTGCAAACTGCCCAGGATTCAGCACGCCCTGAGGAGTCGTTGAAAGCCCACCCAAACAGTCTGTCATTACCCCTGTTTTGTGTGTCTGTGATGCACACTTCGCTGTGTTTCCCCCCTCACAACAGGGCTATCTGAAGTTGGTTATGACTTTAAGAACTGTCAGGGGATTCTGCAGACTGCCAGGATTCAGCGTCCTGACGAGTCGATGAGAGTCCAATGAAACAGTCTGTCATTGCTCCCATTTTTCCTGTGATCATGACCTCATTTGCTCTCACTGCTTCTTTCCATCTGCGAAAGTGCCAGCGTGCCTATGTTAATGTCCAATAGCAGCTATCTCATGCATAGCCAATGGGGGACACAGAGTGAATAGGGGATAATAATTGGGTAGGCCCGGAACTGATGGACCACAAAGTATGTGGGGGAACACAGCAGGTTCTGCTCTGGCATGAATTAAACACACACAATCCATGCATTAAGGTGAACAAAAACATCGGGCAAAATTCCTTGTTCAGTAAGAGCAAAAGAAAACTAGACAACAGATCAGGTTTTCAAGGAAGGAACGGTCAGATATGGTGATTGCAGAGCCAAGGGATGAAAAGTCATGGGTGGGTGGGCAACAACTTCAGAAGATTGCCAGACCGGCCAGTCGAGAGGAGATGCCAGAGATATTACCTGTTCTTTGCCCAGAGAGGACGAAAATGGATAGTAAGGCAGATCTTCCCTCCTCTGTACATCTGTCACATTATCATGTCATACGCAAAGAAGAAAGCAAACCCAGAAGTGATGAGCAAAACAACTTTTTCAGAAAGGGATGACACAGTCTTTGACCATCTTCCCACTCCGCAGGGTTTGAACTCTCAGCTCACAGATCATCATTTTCCGTGCAACGGTTGCCCATTCACCCATCCAGTCTACTAAAGTGCCCACCAAACCGTGCAAGATGACACCATTCAGCCTAAGAACAAGATAAAAAGCATGTACTTTCCACACACCCAGATACTATTCTGCCTAACAACAAGATAAAACACACACCCACACAAGGACCTAATGCCGTGGTTATTAGGAGTCCAAACTTAGACAGGCTGATAGGATTGTGGGTATTTAGCTCAGCAAGTCCCTCGCCACAGTGCCCCCTCCATCTCAATCTCCTTCCCCCATCTCGCCAAGTGTCGGCTTCCTCTTTCCACTTCCTCTTCTCCTTGCCAACTCATTGGAGGGGAGGGGAGAGGGGGGGAAGCGGAGAGGGGGGGGGCTGGACCATAACAGTGCACCCACCCCCACCCCCTGCCAATGCCTCAAGCCATCATAATAATTTGCCCTGACCGAAGTCAAAGCAGGCCATCACCCACCCACACTACAGACTGTTCATTGGCAAACAACAAACACACACACATACACACGTTTTGGGGGTGGGGAGAGGGGGAAGAAAGGAACCCTTGACGGACAAAACTATAACGTAGCACACACACACACACACACGAAATGACTGCGAAGAAGGAACAGTAGAGGGCAACCAACCTTGGCTGTTTTGCCATCGAGTTCAGGGAGCTCGATCTCTGGGGCTGTGGCGGGATACGTTATGGGAATATCGAACTGCAGATCGAACTCGTACTTGAGGAGATTGTGCACATACCAGCATTTGCCTTTCCACTTTGTTCCCTCAGGGTTCGCAGAGATGCGGAACCAATCATTGTCATTCATCTTGTTAGATTCCATGTACTTGATGAGAGTCTGGTCGAAAAGTAACAGCAAGTCACCACCCACAATGTCAATAGGCGAACGATTCAAACGCTCAGAACAAAAGACAAACGAATGAAATTTCAGAAAGAGAAGGAAAAAAGAAAGAAAGAGAGCGGACAAGAATCAAAAGCAAAGAGATCACCTACTGCAGTAGAGCTGGAACCACTCGAAGGGTTCTGAAACACTCACGCAAGGGACTTTCCAGACGGAACCTGGCCGTAACTGCCGTCAGATAGAGATGTCCCAGAAGCCCCTATTTATGGCTGCAAGTATATTGTGTGGATCTGTGATTATGCCGAATGGCTGAAGGCAATGGTTTGGTAATGGATTCAAGTCCCATACTCTTGCTGCAAGTATGCCCCTATTGTTGTGATTATGCTGAGTGGCTGATGGCATTGGTATGGTAATGGGTTCAAGTCCCGTATGCTTGCATTCAGACTCGACTTCAAACTTGCTCACAACATGCAAACACATGGACTGATGGCAAACTCAAACTCATCAACTCAGAATCAACAATGAACTTGCATTTAAACTCTGTTCAATACAACCGTACAACTTGCGGTAATGGCCGCTGAACACTGTCCCAACCATCAGCCTCACTCTCTCTCATGCACGCACATACGAGGATCACCCTGAATGTCCACGCTACACACTGTACACCCTGTCTGAGACTACAGCTGGGCGGCTATGGGCGCCGTCGTCTTCCTCCTCCTTGTTGTGACCGCCGACGTCCTCCTTGCTGGTTCGCTATGGCCGCTGTCTTCTTCACAGCCCAATTCCTCTCCGGGCACCTGCAGACCTCCACGCACAAGAAACCAAGGCAGCTCTTCCGCATGGCTCACAGGCGAATGAATGAATAGCTGGACGTTGCCTCTTTATTTATACTTCTTCGGAGGTACCCGGACCTGCCTCAAAATGTGTGGACCTGGGCCAAAACGCGTGGCCCAGGGAAGCTTCCAGACGTTTGGCCTTCTGGGCCAAAACGTGTGGAACCCACTGCATGGTCCAGAACCTTCCCCACGTGCAGCCCCTACCCCTGATACTTGCTGACTGGACTGGCCTACAGGGACCTACGACCTTGAACCCACTGCGTGGTNCTTGAACCCACTGCGTGGTCCAGAACCTTCCCCACGTGCAGCCCCTACCCCTGATACTTGCTGACTGGACTGGCCTACAGGGACCTACGACCTTGTAGAGCCTACAGACTTACAGACAGACACTAGGCCTCAGTAGACTCAGATAGAGACTTCTAGAACAGACCTTCCTAAGACTAACGCATCTCCCTATCCGACCTACAGACTAGCCTAGGGGGTAGGATAGGTCACGGGATCGAGTCCCACACAAGTCACTGGGTCTATGTACAAGGTACAGGGTAGGTCTAGGGATCGAATCTCACTCAGCATACAGGGTCAATGTACAGGGCTCGGGCACAGGTCTAGGGATCGAATCTCTGTGCCTACAAATGTCGGGTCAACTGGGTGAAACCGTTTCACTCCTACTCTACAGACCTAGGGATTGAGTCCTCCTATCCGACCTCCAGACTAGCCTAGGGGGTAGGACAGGTCACGGGATCGAGTCCCACACAGGTCACTGGGTCTATGTACAAGGTACAGGGTAGGTCTAGGGATCGAATCTCACTCAGCATACGGGGTCAATGTACAGGGCTCGAGCACAGGTCTAGGGATCGAATCTTTGTGCCTACAAATGTCGGGTCAACTGGGTGAAACCGTTTCACTCCCGCCGTCCTAACTTTGAGGTCCTCCGAGAACATTCTAACTTGAGATAGGACCTTTACCCTTTCTTTCTCTCTCATAAGCGTGTACTATGTCGGGAGCAGTTTCTAAGAGCTCTGTTCTGGTAAACCATCGGTCGTCCACGGGTCCCTGGTATGCGAACCTAACCTCATATTGTCTTTGGGGACGACCTCGACCTCCTGTCCTAAACACCTCTTCCACTATGCGATCTATATCATATGCACCATCCATGTCTAGAAGAATCATCGATCTCCTGGAAGGGAATCTATCGGATGTGGTGCAAGGCAACAACTTGGACGCATGGAAGACAAGGTACGTGTGGAGGTGTGGTGGAATCTCTGACGTGTCTGACGGGCTGTCCTCTCCTCCTACTTCTAGGACAGGCCATGGTCCTCTATACGCAGGTAAGAGCTTCTACGATATGTTTTCCTGTGGTGCGAACTCCTTTGACTTGACCAGACTAGATCGCCTACCTGAAACCATGAAGGTCGGTGGTGCTTGTTAGCTTGCTCTATCATCAGGTGTTGGGCTTTCCTCTGATTGTCAATGACCTTAGCGACTTTTTGCTCATGCTGTAATGCAAACTCTCGGGTGTCGAGTGGTAGTCTCTGTATCTAGTCCCAGTTTAGTCCTTCAAACGGTCGCCTTGGTCTAAAGGACCTATGTAGCTCATTAGGAGTCCTGCAGGTACCTAGATGAACACTATTATTATAGGCACTTGCTACTTTGGGAAGCATCTCATCCCAGTTAACCTAATCTGGTCTAATGTACATTTCGAGTAGCTGCTGCAAGATCTTATTCATTTGCTCGATTTGGCCGTTAGTCTTTGGGTATCGTCCTGACGACATCAACAACCCATAAACTTTCACAAGATCCTGCCAATTCTAACTAGTAAACCGCGTATCCCTATCACTTACTATGCACAGCGGCATGCCATGCTTGCTTACCCATAAATCAAAGAACTTTCCTATTACTAAATTTGTCAGCGCTTCTGCTGGTACCGAAACAAAAACTGCATACTTGCTAAATCGATCTACTAGGACGATGACTTGAGTCTTGCCTTGCCTACTTTTGACCCCAATATCCATGAAATTGATGGAAACTGACTCTTCGGGTCCTGATGGAATAGGCAGGGGTCTGAAAAGACCTAATGGTGCTCTAGTGGTTGTCTTATTAAGCCGACACACTTTGCAACTGTGGACATACTCGATGCAATCTGCTTTCATGCCTGGCCACATGTATGACATCATCAGATTAGCTAGAGTCTTTTGCCATCCGAGGTGTCCTTCTGTAACGTGGCATTCCCCTACGATCAAACTACGAGTTTTTTCATTATTGAGGACGCATAGTCTGTCCACGACATTGGTCTTCTCAAACAGTAACTGGTTCGTGATTCGGTAGTGCGGTTCACTACCTGGGCCTTCCTATACTCTTTTCAGCGGCTCACTGTAGATCGGGTCCTGTGGATAGGCATCTCTTACTTTCTGCTGCAAGTCGGCCCCTATGTTTAGGTAGTGCACTATCGCGTCGAAGTAATCAGCTCTCCTACTCAGAGCATCAGCTACCACGTTATACTTTCCTTTTACGGGCTTTAACTCAAAGTCAAATTGGCCTATCTCAGCAGCCCATCTAGTCAACTTGGGCGTCATCTTGGCCTGTGTCTGTAGCCATCTAAGAGTCTCATAATCGGAATATACCTTGAAGTGCCTCCCAAGCAGGTAGTGCTTCCAGTGGTCTAAGGCCTGCCTAAGAGCGTAAAGCTCCCTCTCGTATGTCGATGTTGCTACCTTCTGTAAGGGTTGGCTGACTTGAACTCTACGGGTCTATATCCATTATCGTCATCTTGCTGCAAGACGGCACCTATGCCATACTGACTAGTGTTTGTAGTGACAACGAATGGCAGTGACACGCCAACGACTTTGAAGACAGGGTACTCTATTAAGGCCTTCTTCAATTTATTGAAGGCTGACGTGCAATCCTGGTCCCACTTCCAAATTGTCTCTTTCATCAGTAACCTACGAAGGGGAGCAACGATCGTGGAGAAGTTCCTTACGAACTTCCTATAGTAGCTAGCCAACCCAAGGAACGAGCATAGCTCTGTCAACGTCCAAGGGGTCGGCCAATCTCTAATAGATGCTATCTTACTGTCCTCAAGCCGAATGTCGTCTTCGTCTAGTACATGGCCTAGATAAAGGACCTCTATCTTGGCCCACTCGCACTTCTTCGGGTTAATCTTGAAGTTGGCCTCTCTTAGCTTGCCTAAAATCTGTCGCAGATGGCCCTCGTCCTCCTCGAGGGTCTTGCTGAACACTAGGATATCGTCTAAGTAGACTACGACGACCCTATCTAGCCACGACCTAAACAAGTCATTCATGCAGCCTTGAAATGTGGCCGGTGCATTAGTTAGTCCAATCGGCATCACTATGAAGTCGTAATGCCCATACCTTGTCCTGAACGCCATCTTATACTAATCGTCAGGGTGGACCTCTATCTGATGGTAACCTGACTTCATATCTATCTTTGAGAAATACTTGCATCCCTGCACTCCATCTAACAGGTCATCTATGCGAGGCAGCAGCTGTGCATTCTTGATTGTGATGGCGTTCAGTTCCCTGTCGTCTATACACATGTGTTGCTCTCCCTCTTTCTTTGGACGAATAGAACAGGTGCGTCGAAAGGTGATGAACTAGGCCTTATCCATCCTTTCTCCAAGAGCTCGTCTAATTACCTGCGAAGCTCCTCTAGCTCTTTGGGAGACATCCTGGAGATTGCCCCTTTGGGCATCCTACTGCCAGGCTCTATCTCTATACGGTGCTGGATTGGTCTGGGCACTACTCCTAAAGGTACTTCAGATAAGTCTTTGTACTCCTCCAGCAAACTGGCGATAGTAGGATGAATCTTCTCTTCTTCCTCTAGCTTGTCAAAAATCGGTCTAACAAAGGCTACGAACACTTGCTCTTCGAGTTGCTCCTTTTGCACAAGTCTGGCAAATGCAGGAGCGTTGAGGCAGCAATGGGCAAGGGGGTTATCTACCCCAGACTCGTGGTACAGGCGGACTTGCTTGACTTCGCCTGACGCACTAGGGAGCCTACACTCGTGCTCTCTAAGGTGTAGTGTGGCGTCTGCTGCCTCTCCTCAAGTTGTGCCTAAGACAATGTCAAACAGGAGATTCTCTTCTACGAGGAGGGTCAAGGAATGCAATACGTTCTTTACCTTCTTTCTCTAGGCGAAAGTAGG